AGGAAAGTAACTATATGATTGTGGCATGTAGATTGTAATTTCACATTAATATTGTGATAATTGTAGAGTAAATGAACTTTTTTTAACATTGTGTCAATGGCGATTTAGCCCGACCCTTTAAATAAGGGTAAATAGCCGTGTAAATAAAACAGACTTCGAAGAGATTTCAAAGCTATTTAACAAACCCTCTATTTTTTAAGTGCCAACTGTGATTTTTATTCTAATCATAGCATTTTCTAAGAATTTCCTAGAGATCTGGCAAAATTTAACACTTTTGGTTTACTATTTGTAAAGTATTACGGACAAATATGCATTAATATTGTTTTTGTCAATTTCTTTCTCGATATCTCCCTCGGTGCGATGGAGTTCAGAATTATGATGTATTACTATGACGTAAAACCATCATCATGTAATTGGCTCTGCAAATGTTTGTTAGTGATTGGTCATGAGTAAGGGTGGTAATGCTGATTACACAATTAATTATGTAAAAAATTATCTATTTTCAGCAAGGTATCACAATCCTTTCATCAGATGATCGATATATTTTTTCGTCATCCTAGATTCACCCCATGTAGACAGATCCATTCGTGGAATGAAAGACTGATGAAAGACTTGACATTCAAAGGGAAACTAGAAACATTTTGTCACCAATATTGCAAATTATTTTTACTGCTTAATAAATGGTGAATGACAGTCACATTAAGTTCTACAAGTATAAACATAGCGTGACGATCTGATATTTCAAGGTAACTCGTTTGAAAAATGATGGCGGTGATTGAAATTACGATGTAAAGATAAAACCGCAACGAAATATTATAGAATTATTTGAAAAACTAAGAATTATACATCTCATATAAGTTTTTCAAAATAGAAAAATATTGTTTCATTTTAATTTATAATTATGGTATCGGATTTGAGTATGATTTTAGACGATGCTCAAATAAAGCAATGAAATTGCATGAAACCTTTTCTGAAAATTCTCATGATTTTTCAAGAATCCTCCTTCAAGTGTTACCAAAGTGCTCCCCGGGAATGGAAATTTCGTCTTGTGCAATCAAGATAATAGCGGGTAGTTTAAATTCTTGATAATAGTTTATAGCTTACATCTCTAAGTTTAAAAACATATCGTCGCCTTGAAAGGTATATGCAGTTTTTGGCGATCTATCATGATAAAAGGCTAGATATTGTGAAAAACACGATTTGACACGCTGACATTTGGAATTGAAATTCCCTACATAATTGTCGACTCGTGTTTAAAAGTCATGAAAACAAGTTTGAACATAAAACATTGAGCCAGATACTGTCTATTCATCCTAGGATCGCTAAGGAAAATATTATTAATGACTTAAATCGTTAACAGTTATGCTATATTCCAAGAAACTTATCAATTTAGAAATGCAAAATGCTCAATTTTGTTGTTCAATTATAAAACATGGCACCTGGCACGTTAACAAAATTATTTAAAACAGATATATTTACTTAAGTAACATTCGTAGGCATGTATAAGCGAATAAATAAGAAGAATATGCTTTTTATTCTATATCTTGTTCCCAAAGGAATTTGTTAAGGAGCGGTACATCTTAACATACTTTTATCATCCCGAACTCAAACATTCCGAATACTTATTTCGCGAACGCTTTGTTGAGAATGGGTTCGAGATGTACTCAAAATTAATACGTTAAAATGTGTATTATCATCTTGATAACCAGCTCACAAATTATTTTGGAAATCAAAGATACGATTTTTACGATTTTTCTTTTCGAATATTGATTTAGTTACTATACCCGGCTGTCTAAAATGGTGTCTGGATTACAGTAAACCATACCCTCTCGAAAAGTGAGACATATTTCGGAGAATATAATTACAACACATTTTCTGCAATAATAGGGAGGTGCTAACAATTCTTTTGTTCGATACTACGGATCATTCTTGAGGATTTTAGCAATATGCGTTATAGTTTATACATCGGACAAAGGAATGCATATCTTTGTAGTATTTCGCGTTCGTCAAAAATCCCTAGTGTGGATTTTGCCTCTATAAATCGCTAAAAAATACGTTTACGTCTCACGTTTCTCCAAATTGCTACCGTGGGTACTTATTACTGATATCTAAATTCACCATATGATACAAGAAATACACATGTAAGTATTTCTATCGCTGAAATGTAATGTTAAATGGATTCTCAAGACGATTTATTACTCTGAATTTTCAGCGAGTGACTTTCAGGGAAGTATAAAGGTACCGCACGATATTGCGCAGGATTGCGGAGCTTTCATGAATCGGGCCTCAGATATCGCTTTTCCACGCATTTGCAAAATATCATTAATATACTAGTATATACTTGTTATTCTACAGATTTGACCTCAACTATGGGATAATATCAATTCTCTGTAGCAATTGGACAAACATAGTAAATATGAGAATCCACAGTTGAATATATTATTAATCTGTTTTACTTTCTTAGCTTTTCAAAATTGGCATCACGCAGAATGAGATGACAGAAAAGATACTGAATTTATTTTAAACTGGCTTTCAGTCCCTTTCGCAAACCCTTACTTGTTTATGTTGACGCCAAATATGGAAATTGATTTGTAAAAATAACGTTCGAATACATGTTGAAATTACCACAAGCACACTAAGGTTGGCCAAAGACGAATTATCAAACAATATCATATGGACTACTGGTCAAAAACATCCGCATCTATTAGAATACTGTTACACACTGGCGAAACTAGTAGCACTTCCTGTAGACAAAGAAACCAATCATTTATGTGAAAAATGCGGAAATTTATTTCAAGATACAGTAAATCATTTACTCTTTCAATGTTGCTGCGATGCTGTCTGCACAGGTATGACCATGCACGACTTAGTATGTGACCCCCGCGACGTTGAGGAAGACACAAGCGACAAAATAGCAGCATTAAGTAAAATTTTGCCACAAATACACAAATCAGTATATGTAAACGGAATCTCATTGGTTCCTACGTTTCAAGATTACAACATGTAAAGTAATAATAATATAAGGTAAAAGAGCCTATTGCTCATCATAAATGTATAACTGATGTAAATAACTACCACTTTTGTAAAAAGTAACAAAACAAACTCCGATTGAATCTGTTAACATGTAATTACGTTAAAAACACTCCATGAATAATGAGAAAATAAAGATATAATAATAATAATACCGATTAATGCTGATATTAATTACTTATAGTCTGGATATTGACCTTGACCCATTTGGAATGACCTTGAGTCAATGATCTTGGTCGTGCGTGACCTCCCAACATAAAAAAGTATGTGCACAACGGGAAGTGTATGGTTTTAACGTAGTGAACACGTGGGAGTTACATGTAAATGTTGCCGTCTGATAGTAGTCGATTCGAACGGGCGAAGAATCTGGCTGAATGACAGCTTCATTAGGGTACAATTAATGCGATTGAAGCATATGTTAAGGTTGTACGACTATTCAATTATGGTATCAAATTGCTTCTTCCCTTACAAGAAACAAACAGCAAACATACGGCAACAACTTGCTATCTGTCACGATGCATCTGATGCTAGGTATCATAGTTAATTCAACATGATTTGGGAAATTACAAACCATATGGAACTATTTTTTAAATTACGTCCTAGCTTCCTGTGTACATGTAGACATCACTTTAACTGGTGTAAAACATCGGGTTAAATAGTTACCTCTGTGTTGAGTATATTGATACCTTGAACACCTACTGGAATAGATGATTGGCTTTAATTCAATCACTTTTAAGTTTCCTCAAAATCGTCATACTTTCTAGATAAATAGGCGTACTACACTAAACGCGAGATACACGAACATTTTGACATCGTTCGCAGAAAATTATTTTTGCAGGGGACTTTGTTCACCTGGCATGTATAATCATCGGAAAAATCGAGGAATGACCTTTGTTGTGGCAGCTCATTTATGAAGCCATCAAAATTGAAAATTACAAATGATTTTTGCTACAGAAACATTGGAAATAATTAGCTTCCTTTGCGAGTTTGAGATAGTTGCATATTTTCAAAACAGCATCTACAGGTATGGAACTCATCTAATCGAGAGTTTGATTTAAAGTAGGAATGTTTACCTAGATATAAAGAAATACTTCATATATCTGCATTTTACTCATTAATTTATAGTCTAACCGATTAGATAAAAGTAGGGGTAAGTGTCAGCACGCAAATCTATGATTCGATCGAATATCAAAAACATGGTAAACGGTTTCATCGACAAACCATTAAAAACTTCACCGCTGGTATTTGAATTTCGTTCACATACTTTCATGATTTATGTAAGACAGGTTTGACATTGACCAAGGTTCAAAACTATATTCTTTATGATTATTGAATTTCACAGAGGATATTTGATGTTCTTTAAAAATTTGATTACCGTAGTATTTGATCTACATAACTGCTGGAAACTGTCATAGAGGTGGGAAAGAGAGTGCACATGCAAGTAGTCGCAAATGTTAAAGGGCCCGTGAAATATTGTATTATCATCTAAATTTTATTTGTCATCACTTAAGAAATGTTCTGACATTTTCACAAAAATGTTATCTTTCGAAATAAAATTGGTGCTCTTTTAATTTTCAAATATCCGCCATTCCAGTAGAAAGAGTTAAGATTTGTAGATCGTCAGCTGTTCACAGATTATTTTCTAAGTGAAAGTCATATTGTTCCATCCATTTAATTTGCTGCCTACAAAGACTACACTGTGAGTAAAACTGATTTAAACTTTTCCTGGGACCTTTAATCAATCGCCTATCTAATATTCTACCGATCAACATAAATCATCTACAGAAATGTACGTTGTCTCATAAAATGAAGAAATAATTTAAGATGAGATCAAAGATATATTTTTCACACTTAAAAAAAGTTTATGAGATTATGACTTTTAATTAATCATATTCAGTTTACAATTGATTTTTCTGAATTTCTTTATTGATTTTTCTTTATGAAATGAACACAGTAATTGTTAGTTTAGCGAAACTGCAGTCACAACGTTCCTAACGGCCAACTTTTCGATAGATGTCAGGACCTTATGTAAAACATCTAAAACGACCAGAGGTCACGGTCGTCGTGGAGCTGTAGTGTAGGGACCAAGATACTAGAAATGAAATGAAGTGTGGACCAAAAATGTAATGATAAATTTATAAACAATTCCACGTATGTATGTTTATTCTGTTTTTAACACTCAAATAATAAATATACTGGAACTGGCTAAATAAAAACTCCTGTCTGTAAGTGCATGTAGGTACTAAACTAGTCATTGTTGTCCGTCAGAATCAAAAACACACTTCAAATCTCGTGTGATTATGCAAATTATCTTGATGTGGAGCAATACTTTTTGTTTCGTTTACTAACAGTTGCTAGGCATTTGCAAAATCTCTCTCCATTTTGTCGTTTTGTGCAGACGCCAACTTTAGGGGTACAGTTCAGACAGGGGTCAGATAAAGCTAAAAACAAAAATGTCAAGGTTAATGTTTTTACTCAATTGGTGCACCTAAATAATGCTAAATGTTAAGTCTTCAATATTAACCTTATAATTAAGGTATATGTGCATGTCGTCCTTTTAAATAATAGCCATAACTTTCATTTTTTCGGGTTGAAATATTAGCTATAGGATCTTGTTTTTAATTGAATCAGATTTGTAAAAGATGCATAGGTGGTGACATATTGACATTAGCTATCACCAGTATTACATTTCACTAAATTAAAAAACTTAAAGTGAATCGTTTTCCTCACCCACAGAAGACTCGACTTTGAATTCATGAAAGTATCTTCGACTTTCTGTGATCTTTGCTCCTAATGCCAATGCGTCCGAGTTAGCTTTCAGAATGAACGACTTGCCAGGTTTCAGTTCCTCGCAACTTTCCTTTATTTTGCTATGTACTCTCCAACTCTTCTTGACAAAGTAACACATCTTACCCACGTGGTACGTTGTGAAGGGTCTTGGACATTTACCTTTTACATTTATGATAGAATGAATTTATATATCATTTCCACTCAGATTCAACATTTTCTCTAGACACTTCTCAACTAGACTATCCATATGTATACATAACAGAGGAAAAAGGTAATAGAACATCCATAATACCACCCAGGTATGAAGCAGACGATCGTCAATATTTATAGCTATTATATAACTCTTTAAGATATCTTTGTTTAGGAACAGTGCAGTACACAATATACAGAATGGAACAATAGTAAAATAGTTTCAATGAAAAACAAACCATTTGCGTCTTCTTCAATCACACATATTGTGTATGCCATATCAGAACATGGCTCTATCTGCCAGTAGAATAATTGTGGGTCGGTTTTCCTGAAGCCCCAGTTGGTCATTATGTAGCACACATTATCCATTGTTGTTGGTTTAGCTGTTGTACTGGTCGTATCTTTACATAAGTACATATTTTTTATTACATAATTCGTTGTGATTTTAAATTTACACATATATGAAATATGTTCTGGATCATAGGGATATTTGGGATTTTGCTTACATATTTAGCCCATGAAAGGTAACGTACCGTCACAATCTTTAGTCTCACTTTCAAGTACATCCCCGGTATAGCTCTGGTAAATTGGTCCATCGGCTGGTAGGTAACCATATTCTGGGAAGAACCCAGATCTCAATCTTTGTCGCTCTCCACTCCTACATTTACTCCACTCCCCCCATTGGATCCAGCCTATGATTACGAGTTATTTTGAGGTGATAGATAAACTTTAAAAATAACAAATGACATTTATACATTTACACAGATGGGAGAAAAACATTTTATAATGCATTGATTAAAATAATACATCATTTCATATTCTGATATTCATCACAGCTTTCTGTTTTTAACTAGAAATAGAAGGGAACATGATTTGTAATGATAAAATCACTCAGACCTATGCCGAAAACGAGCCACAATCTGTTTAATTATGACATTCACATATTCCGATATGGGACATGACAAATGTATGCTCAATGCTCATTATGCGTGCCAGGTGGAAGAATGGTAATGTTCTTGTATACCACAATGCATTTTATTGTTCCAGAAAAACATTCAAGCATATCAATTTATAAACAACTTTGTGTATACCCATAACAGTGTCTGCGATCCATTGCATGTGGTAGGCCAAATCTGTATGTGTGTGGTTCTTTTGCTCTTTCGTACAGCCTGATAATTTTATGAGGCTGTTCACACCAAGAACCACTGCGGGTTGTGGAGGCATGTACACCATCTCTGTTTTATTCAGGTCACACATCAACGCACTTCCACTGTATCCCTTATAACAAAGGATATGGTTTATGTATTCAGAGTTGCACAGGGGTCATTTAAGATATGTCGTTCAAAATTGGTGCCTCGCTTTTAATGAGCAATGTGTGCTAGACTTAACATGTTTTTGTTGCAACACTGGTCTGTCAGTTGCCAAATATATTGTAAAGAATCGTGGACAAGGAAGTACCTCCCACTTGAACCAATTAACCCTCAAGTTAAACATAACTCCTTTAGGTCAAAATCCCCTTATACGTCACTTCCGCTGAGAAAAAAAAGTAGTTTTAAAGAATGAATGTAGTCCCAACACAATTGTGATCATGATGAGTCAGTAACCTAGTATGTAGGTACAGTTGTCATCTTTTTGCAATTACAACATGCCATTTCTTCTGAAAATGCGTTTATTTGGGTTATCTCAAGGAAAATTTCGAGTCAAGTGGAGTATTAATTTTGCCTTCATTTTTGTGAATTTTAGTTTCTGTCGACAGAGAGAGTGGGTAGTGTCACAATTGACCAATTATTTCAAAAAGTAGATGTTTGGCCCATATTGAGCTTCGTGTCAAAATGTAGCTTAGACATAGCTTAATAGCCTCGATAGGCCAGTAAGGCCACATAAATCCATAACTCTTGCCCATTGACTAGTATGGTGACGTGAATTAGGGTTTTTTTGCCATACTGATTGACAGCAGAGAACACAGAGACACGTGTTCTCTACAATATCTTAAATCCTAAATAAGCATTTCTTTTAATTAAAATAGGGCTACGATTTCGACATCTTTCCAGATATCCTCATTCTCCTAACCTGCTTGAGGAAAAACCCAGGTATAAGATCAGTGGCTTGAAAATAAAAGTAAACTTTTAGTACACTAAACCCTGAATTTTGAGCAGGATTGTACGTAGCCTACTCTTTTAAGGATACGATAGGTTTTTATTAAGGAAAATGATTAATGATCAACTATTAATGAAATTCCTACCTCACAAAGTGGTCTCTCGCCTGGAATACGCTCTGATCTGATAGTAGGTTTAATATAGGTGTCGTGTCTTTCCTCCATCCACACTTTAATTATCCGGCCTTTATCATTATTTTGGGATGAACCGACTTCTATAAAAAAAATTAATATTGCAAGTAGCAATGAATTCCTAGCTGTGAAATGTCTAAATTATGCACTGGCGTCGTCCCTTGAGTAGGCTCATAAAATATTTTGGGCAAAATATGTATGGCCCCAATTAGTTGGCTTTTGGGCATTACTTGGCCTCTTTTCGGCTTTTATAGGCCAAATTATCAAAAAAAATTGGGATTTAGGGGCCTTAATCAAATTTTTTCTATTTTGAAGTTTTGACAAAATGAGTGGACAAGAGGGAGGAGCTAATTTCTGTTAGAAAATTCAACAAATCTGCAAGATTCATGGCGGTTAATCGGCGATCCACACAGCAGCCATGATAATTTTTTGGAAAATGGGATTTCTGTCTTAGCATTTTCATTTCCGAGTCATTTCTGGTTTCCTTTCAGACATATTATCAATAATATGTTACACTTGTTTATCTACCCTTTTTTCTAAAACAATCTTGTCAAAGGATATGTATCGATATGGTGAACGTTTTTCTCTTAAACCAATAATCGAAAACATTCTGTGAAAACACGGCCCTTTATGTAATGTTGACTAATTGACAACAATTAAATGCGAAAATTATATTTTGTATAACTGTTTTTGTGAAAAAAAGTTTTTTAGTGCAATTGTTTTTTGTTCCTTTTTAAACCTTTTATTTCATCTACAAGATTTTTTTAAATCAACTAAACTCTCCTTTGTACAATTACATATTGAGAGACCTATACACGTTGTGTTTAAGTTGTTTTGTTCCAATGAGGTTCGGATAGATGTTTTATTTCATTCCAACCATACATGTATGATACCAAGAACAAAAGAAGTGTCTGGTGTGTTTTCTAAAACAATATAGAAAAAAGTGTATATATATATATATATTTCAAATTATAATGTTACCATCCAAAAGATGGCCATTAAATTGACGATGTGTAAAATTTTCAGAATTTTTTGATGACTGGTTTAAGAGAAACGTGTGTTCAAAAAGTTCATCATCATCGGAGGCGTTCCCTATATCCCTCCGAACTTCGTTCGATGGGATAATAATTCATATACAAACATTATCATGCCACGACTTGAGAGAATTTTGTTCAAGATCTGATGTAGCCTCGCTGATACGACTTATTTCTCTATTTTGTAAAAAATATCGTCGATAGGACTAATTAAAACATTACATGTCACGCACATAATAAATAACTAAAGATCTAAGAAAAGATGATAGTCGTGTGATATAGCATAGGCATCTTGAGTTTATGAGCATTCTTATGATTATATAATATCATTTATTTTCAAAGTTTATTTGCCTTTTCTTCCTTGATGATTCGTTAAATATGGGCTACAAGCATTCTGGAAATACCTTTATTTGTTTCGCTGATACCGTTTTAGAATGTTATTAAAGTGCCCTATTCAATACCCTAAATGCAATTGTTCGACTTCACTTCTTAATCCCCCTATCACAACAAACTAGTTCTTACCCGTTCTTGCCAGTCCTACGAAAACGTCGTAAAACGGGCTCAATCTCGGTATGGTCGCCATCGAATTTTGAATCGATTCAAAATTCTAAATCACATTCCCCGTCCGGGAAAGTCCATGAAGTTCGTGAACAGACCGTAGAACGTTGTAGCTATGTTCATTCAGTTCGCACATAGTTTAAAACCGATTCGGCAACGTTATGAAGAACACAGTGACAACTGGTTCTGGTGTGATAGCTATTTTTGTTAATTCGTCCATAAACAGTTTCTAATACGTTCATCTCGTCTTTATTCCGTCTGCAGTCCGTTGGTATCAAGTTTAGATCGGGTTAAATTGTGCGTTCGTCTCGTCTACACAACATATCCAAGCAGTTCAATTACGTCCTTAAACTGTTTAAACCAGTTGACAATTATTTGTACCTCGTTCTCAATACGTCCTAATATGTAACTGACTTATCCACCAAATTATGAGAACCTACTGTGAACCTTTATAAACGGGGAGGACGTTATTCGGTCGAGCTGGGTCTGTCTACGAACAGAATGAACGAGCTACAAACGGACTAGATTGGGGTACTCACGGCTGCAATTTACGCCTGACTACACAACGTCGTAATACGTCCCTAGTAGGATTGAAGTACGTCACTTCCGTTCGTAGTGGGTCCCAGTGCGTCCTGGTCGTCTTAAATACGTTGTCACTCGTTCTGATTGCAGAACGTGACGATCACCAGAACATTTTGAGCATGCTCTAAGTCCTGGAGGACCTATTCGTCCGAGTAGTTTCATGAAGTTTGTAAACAGATCCCAAACGGTTCTTAGTGGGTTCTTAGTACGTCAAATCCGTTCGTGCACAGTTTAAGCCCGTTTTCGAGAGCGTACTGAGAACTAGTTTGGTGTGATAGTAGGGTAAAAGAGAGCTTCGTCTTCAGGGTAGTTTATAACACGCATGGTACCAAGTCAATGATCACAACGTCAATATATATTTTGGGAGAAAAGAATGCTGAATGGGACAAATCATATCACCTGATCCTGATGCCAATACATGCATAACAATGCAACTGTATATGTAATTATATAATATATAAGGACTATGTTTTCATGACATTATAAAAAATCGAGATGAATCTCACTAGAAAAACATAATTTCATGTATTGAAATGAAGAGTTTGTAAACCGCTATTTTCCTATCAAATTTTTTCCCAGTAATTAAACAGACACAAGTCGCAAAATGTTTGCTATGTAAACAATATAAATAAAATGCATATTATATTTTTAACATTAAGTTGCAGTTAAACATATATAGAATAAGTTTTAATGACATTTTCTTCATAATTTTGATTTTTCAAAAAGCTAATGAGGGCATGGTACTGTTTTTATTTGTTTTTGAGTTTTACACATTTTTAAGATTTCTTGGGCATCCAAAATGTTCACGTGACGTCATAAATGCTCACGGACATACCAAATTTGAACAGAATGTTTCCTGTATTGAACACTTAATCTATACAAGGAAATTCATAAAAGATCCAGGATGAAGGACTTAATTGAGAAAGTTAGAGGGTATCGTTTCTTGTGTCATCCTGTATGTTGTTTTTATTAGCACTGTATGCAAACCGAATTACCGTTGTCACCACCGGGTCTCGACATATTACACAGCCACTGTGTCCGTGCAATGCATTGCCTTTCGGTAGCAGATTGTGTTTCATTTAATTTCGTTTTATTTATCGATGTTCTAACATTAAGAGATTGTGCGCCTTGGGTGTTGGGGAAATCGTCCAGTGTTTGTAAACTTTGCTGGAGAAATCCCCGACCCTCATATAGTAGAGTAGAATAATGTTATTAGAAGTCAGATATAGTTGTTATTTAACATAGAAAGTGCATACTTAGTCCCCAACCAGTTGTAAAACAACCAGCATTTGTAGCCCAGGCTTGGTGACTCAGTGAACAAATACCATGAGAGACTTTAATACAGATTCTAGCAGGCAATAAGCTGGGCTGGACGTATGGTTTGTTCATAAAATCCAGTCCCTTGCTAAGTTTAATAAGAGCAATGTCATTTTTGTGCTCTTGAAGACCCTCGTGATATTTGTTGTGTACAACAATATGTTCAACATCTCTAGTCTGTTCTGTTGTCTCTGTACGTTTCAACCTCCATTCACCCGCTGTTATTTTCCAACTCTTCATATCGCATCTGCAAATAGGTCTCAAGAACTAATATACTAACTGATTTAACTTTTAAGAGTACATATGTGATGTGCCAAAACCTTATTAACAGTAAAAATGAATAAATTAGGTGTACTTATTAATTCTTATTAATGAGACTTATATGGCAAACACATGTCACTGTAACTTTCAACTTCCCATTTTGAAATTAAACATCGTTACATACGTGAGCTTTTTCTCGTCTTTGTTCCAGCATCCAAGGCTTTTGTCAGTGATGCAATGAGCCGCTGTAACAACCCATATGTTACTTAAAATCACACCTCCGCACTTATGCTCCCATTCGCTCCCTCCTGCCTTTTTAAACTTTAAGGAAACTACCCATGATAGCATTTCTCTCTGATATACTTTAACATTGGAACCAATAGCGTTCACATATGCACTTGGTAATGAACCTGTCCTGTATATTTTGTCATACTCCTCCGTTCTGTTGACAACTAATAAAAAGATGTACCATTGCATTAAAGAGCCATGTGCAGTATTGCAAGTGGTTTTAGACAGTGATATCTTTCAAATGAGTACCTTTTGGCCATAAATACAGTGGTTTTCATTAAAACAATATGCTTCTCTCAAGGGAAGTCCCCATGCTTGAAATATCAGTCGAACAATTCAAAAAATTATTAATAGGATCTCCATTTTTTCAAAGTATTGAACTCAAAAGAGGATCTTCTTTTTCTGACTTTTATTGCATGAAAGGATTATTCAACAAGGGGTCTAAAACACCTTTAAACGTAGAATGGTTTGAAAGTCTAATTTTGAAGATATCAATTTTCGATGACCAAAATTATGCTGAAAACAATGTATAGCCTGAGTTTTCCCTATGGGAAAATAACATGGGATGTGTGGTTTTAAACTTTAGTGCATATTGTTTTAAGTAATTGAGATAAACAATATACCTTTACAGCACTCTTTGCGCTCAATATCTGTACCACCTAATACGCTGCATGTAGAGGAGGGTTCTACCTTCTGGCCATCTTCCCCGAAACAAAGCCTTTTTCTATGGGCTATGTTGCAAATTGTATTGTCGCATGGAGTCCAGTCGCCCCAATCTCCCCACCAAACACGGCCTGCGTCTGATCAAAGAATTTTTACTTGTATTTAGTTTCTAGATGTTATCGAAGGAATGCATGAATGGACAGTGTTTGGAACTATTCTCTACCTCAACAAACCATTTAGTTTATAAATATATTTCACTCGGTATAGCACCAATATCGTCAAAGTATACTCTGGCGCTCATCTACAAAAGTTATACACATGTTAGGTTTCGAAATGTTTTAAATGGGTCTTACGTTAATTTTATCAAATTGAACCTAATATATTTGTATATTGATGTAGTTCAATGGCAAAAACTAAGAAATGCTCAAGTAGCAGGCTAGTATGCCGTATTTGACCATTAGTTTTAGACGATACATAAATGGTGACCGAACTATGGGTAAATGCTGGGTTATGTTGGTCATTTTCTAGATCATATGTTCCCAAGTATCATTGTCATGCAATTGGCCCTAGCGTATGTTGCTTAGACTTAGAGTATTTCTTTTTATAAATGCGTTTTCACCTTCCTCATTTGACTTTTCTCTATTTTTTATCATTCATTTTATGTATACCGTTAGTTAATTGTTAACCAAGCCGATTTAAAGGCCCGGTCACACCGCCCGGACGTTGCTGGAGCGTTCCTTGAACGTTGAAAAAATTCATCAACGCTCGTCAACGCGCACAAAATGGGGAAAAAAACAAAAACACGGGCGTTGGCTTAGCGGTGCACCGCTGAAGCCGGCGTTGCTTTAGCGTTGATTGGCGGTTGCGAGCGGTTGCGAGCGGTAGCTAGCGTTTGTTTAGCGGTAATGCGAGCGTTGGTATAGCGGCGTTCTGCGCATGAGAGCGTTGCCTCGGCGGGGGTATAAATAGCAGCAGCGTTGGTTTAGCAGCATATCGCGTTTGACTACTGGGAAATTATTTCAAGTGGGAAGTGTTTAAGAGTAAAGACCTTTATTGGAATTTGTAACTTTAACAAAAGTCCTTCAAGGATTAAAGAAGAAATGTTTTAAATCTAAAGTGCTTCTATTAATGTAATATGACATTAAGAATGAATAACATTATAACTTTTTTTAATAATCTCTCATATCATTTCAAACAAACATATCACAATTTAATCGTTGCATTTCCATTACTTGGAACCGATTTACGTTCAAATTGCTTTAACAATGTCAAATAACATTTACAGCAAAGTAATAATCATGACGCATGACAAATTTTTGCATTGCTGTGCGCGCATCAACTTTTTGTATAATACCATGACGAGTGCAACATTTTACAAGCTGCGCAGAAAATTCACAGATAATTTATTGAATTGCTTGACGTGAAAACACTAGGTATATACTATATTTGAATAAATGTCTCAGTAAAAGTCTATTTGTATTAACATTTAATGAAACACAAAAATCGCATAATACACCTTTTTAAAATCCAAAATCACAAACTTTGAGCGCTTAATTTAGGAATTTACAATGCAAAAAATTAAATTGCCAGACATGAATATATATCAAATGTAAAATGCACAAGTGTCTCCACAGTGTTCTACACAGTGGTGCATTTCTCCACGTATTTATAGCCAAATTCTGGTCCCGCTCCGACACCTCTATACCAACGCCAAAGCAAAGTTCATCGCCGCCATGGAACGCTGCGACAACGTCCGACACCGTTCCAACAACCCCATGTACGCTGATAAAACGCTAACAACCGCTCCACCGACGTTTGTGCAACGTTTAATCGCCGCCCGGGCAACGCTGGCGAAGCAGCGGTGGTCCAGCGTTTAAGATTTCTGCGTTGGTCTAGCGGATTCAAGCGTCCACGAACTTGCGTCTAGCGGTGCCAAACTTTGACTGGGCGTTGGTGGAGCGGTGATAAACTTTGCCAGGGCGTAAAATTGTCCCTTTTTCAACGCTGGCAATATTTTGAGCAGCTCAAAACTTTTGGAGCGTTAGGATGGCCACTCGAGAAACATCAGCGTTGGCCGAGCGTTTACAGCGTTGCTTTAACGGATGCCAACTTTTGTTAAACGGTGGTGAACGTTTACGAGCGTTGATGATTTTTTTCAACGTTCAAGGAACGCTCCAGCAACGTTTAGGCGGTGTGACCGGGCCTTAAAGAAAAATCTCACCTAGTAATTTTATCAGCGCATCAACCTTATCACTTGCGTCCTTCATTTCGCTATCTATTCTAATTTTAAACTCATCATGGCCGTCACTGAATTTCTCTAGAACCTCACTTTTGATGATTTCCAACTTTGGTACTACATCAGTATTCTGGCATGTATTTGCCGTTGCCATGGAAACAATATCTGAAATAAATATAAAATAAATACATCGAACTATTCAATGTCAATACCAGTTACATATATATAGTATACAGGGTGTCTTATAAATGTACCCAAAAGTACATCAACATCATATATAAACCACGGTCATGTAGCCAAAACATGAACGTTTTCTCCCCAATACACCATTTTTATTTCAGTTTTGCCCTTTTCATGCTTTAACCTTTACCTTTTACACCACATAATCTCATATTTCGATGACAGCCTGTATCCTTACTGCTTCATTGTTCATCACTTTTGATAATAATTCTGGTGGAATGTTGGATTTATTTTTGAGTGTTGCCCTTAAGTTGTTCTGGGTATTTTTGTTTGGAATGAGCATTAAAACACTCGTTCAAATATCCATAGAGAAAGATATTTGAGGATGACGATGGCAGAACAAACACAGAGAATCAGGTCAATTATCGGCAAATGATTCAGGAGTTACCTTCCAGACTTACGCAGGCTACCCTGGAGACCAAATGATGTCCAAATGAAAACACAGTGGTCTCAAATTGATTGAGCTCCTCTACATACAACAAAGACTACACTAGAATCCCAACCAATGCAGTTTCTTGAATGTCTAATTGTAACCTCTCTGTATAAGGGGCTATAAGACATTCACCTGATTTGACGGCCCATACTTTTTTCTCTGGGGCTATTTGAAGGACCATTTTTATGCTAAACCTAAACTAAAAGACCTAGAACCAGCATCAGACTAGCATCCGAACATAAATCAAAACATTCCAACATAAATATCAAACTTATCTGGGGAACAGCAACTAAAGCTCTATTGTTTCAAATTCTGAAAGTACAAAAAAGATTCTTAAGACTAATTACAAACAGTGTTAGAACAGACGATTCCTCTCTACAATTTAAGAAAATAAAGATACTTAAATTAGAAGACATTCATAAGCTAAATGTTGGTATTTTTGTATTTAATTGTTTCAAATGACCTAAAGAATTTCCTCAAACTTTATTCTATGACTACTTCATATCAAATGCTCAAACTCATGGTCAAGAGACACGTTATAGATTCAATCTTAGAGCTAATCAATTTAAATCTACATTTGGACAAAGGAGCATTAAATACATATATAGGACAAACAACATGGAATGAATTACCTGAAACTTTTAAACATCTGAATTCTAGAAATAAATTTAAGTCAGATTTGAAAAAGTATTATCTGGACAAGTATTAAATTGTATAACATTTCCCTATATGTGCTTATATATATATGTATATTTCTTTCTCTTCTATTACTTTTCTCCTAACTTTCTATCTTTAAAAACAGTTTTATATCTTGTCATCTTGATTAATACAATTATGTAATATAATCATATGTAACTATATACACCCGCATGGGTGTCAGTTGCCTGTACATTGAACATTGATATAATTGATGAATAAACAACTATGCAAACAACTTTTTTTTTTAAATGTGATGAACAACGTAGTAGTAAGGATGCAGACTGTCATCGAAATATGAGTTTACATTGATTATGTGGTGTAACTGGTAAAGGGTTAAAAGTACCAAAAAGGCAAAACTGAATTAAAAACTGTGTATATGGGGAATAAACTTACATGTTTTGACTGCAAAATCATGTAAAAAATGTCTGAAAATATTGATACTTTTGGGTACATTTTTTGAGACACCCTTTAATAATTTCTTGGAAAAACTGGTCATATCTTATTATTTGACATAAGTTAATCTGCTATTTTTTATTACTGTATAGTTAGGAAGGTTAGCTTGTCAATATACCGGATATCTTTGACAGATCAATTCTAAATATTTCCGTGAAAAGCTGCCCAACATCCGAAACAAAAATCATTAATCAAACATACAAATACAGAAATTGTATTAAATCAACCCCATTACTTTGCAACATCAGAAAAAGATAAGCAAAATCAAAAAACCGTTAGAGGCGTAAAAACGCCATTGCATGGTATCTGTATTTAGGTTAAACTTTTCAGATGGTTGGTGTACATCAAGTCGTACTTCGCGTTCATAAGGTTAATCAACCATAACAATGATACATTTAAGTCCTCTATATGACAATAAATCTATAGTTAACTTACCAAAACATGCTATTAGTGTTATTAGGATTAATGTTAGCAAACTAGGTTTGCCCATGTTTGAATGCAACACTTTTTCCATTTGTTCGTATTTTCTGTGATGTAGACTCAGTCACTATATTGAATGTAAGTGGTGGTTTTGTGGGTAAGTCATAACTTATGTTCCGGTTGAAAGGCCTTTTATTTGTTCTGATCCACCTATCACGTCGAAGCATGTGTCGTCTACTACGTAGTTACTCGCAACCAGACATGCTGCATGTATGTACAAGAGTCGAGGTAAGAGGAGGGAAAGCCCCAGAGTTTAAAGATGACAGACATAATTACGTCTCTTGCTTACCACCTTCGTTCGTTCGAATTTTCATCGGCTAGTTATCAAATACTTCACTTCTACGGGATGTTTTAATTGATATAAGCATATTCCGTACACCTTTTCTTTATCTTGATGTGAAATGAGAAGCTATGATATTGGTTAACACTCCGGAAATGAACATAATATTATTCGAAGCGTATTTCGAAAATTTTGAAACCGCCATTGATGACGTCATTTGTTTGTCGACTTTTGACCAATCAGCGACGATGTCATCTAGATACAGATTTACATCTTTGAACCCTGGTGTTTCTCCCCCTCTGAGTCGAGGTTAAATGGGCGCTGACATGCACGAGGTATTCACGATGCCCATGTCAAGCAGCGTGCCTACTAGGCACGCAGTTTGAAACTCTGACAAACTGCGCGCATATTTCAAAATGGAAGACGGGGAGCACACGACTCCCAAAAAGAGCCAAAATACGAAAAATACAAGGTTAGTCTCGTTCTAAAGATAGTACCATTCTGTGAAGATGAACTTAATTTACTCATAGTACTCAATGTTTTTCCCGATGTAAACCTAGTTATCTCAATATAAGGGTCTTTAGTAACTTCTGTGTTCAAAATTAACAGTGTAAAGTTATATCTATGTCTTTTTATCGTCATTTGCCGTTTATTCAGCCATTTTGTCTGTGTATACTGGAATATATATAGGATCACTCCATCTGATTAAAGCAGCATACATAGTTTGTGTTCAAAACGATAATACGCCATAAACGTGATTTAAACATTTTTCTTGTCAAACTGCGCGCCTATATTCACATGTATTTCCCAAACTGCGTGCCTAATATTTCCAAACTGCTTGCCTATCCAAGCTTGTTTTGTATTATTAGAAAACATAAGCGTCATATGTAAGGTACACATGAGTCTAATAGTAGAACCCCATAATTGAAACACTATGAGAGTCCATCCACCAAGATGGTGATCTGAAAATAAAAGTTTTTTTCGTTCCCAACTTAATTGTCACTCCTATTATACATTTTGACTTTCAATATGGAAATCTCATAAAATCTGACGATAAAGCAAAACTTCCAAAGCTATATGAAAAACACCTACACTTGCCTCTGTAGAAATTCCAATGATAATATATAGTTTTCATAGTGTATGCGCACAGTTTGTAATTTCTGGCTAAAATAGGCGCGCAGTTTGTGGTTCATTTCTTTTTAATCTCCTGATTATCTGTTTTATCTCGAAATATTTTGAATTAAACATGATGAATGCGTAAGGAATTAAATATAAAACGAGTCTGAAGTATTTGTTATTGATGTTTAAAGTGCTAGATCGATTTACGTATAAATTCCCGTTAAATCAGTGACGAAAATGCCATTAATCTGCTTATGTTTTAAAACTTAGATTCATTTGCACATAGTTTTTGCTAGTATTTGCAAGATTCGTATATTCGCCACAGAATGAACGCATTGAACAAGAAAACAATGCAGGATAAATGTCTTTAAATTACATTTCAAAATACAGACTCCAACTTAAATGATGCAATGTTGTTAGGCACGCAGTTTGTGATCGAAACAAACTGCGCGCCTGTGTAGGCGCGCAGCTTGACATGGGCACCGTGGTATTATATTTATATATTTACTCAGACGTTTTTTAACTTAAACAGTGAAAATAAAAAAAACAAAGATATTAGTGCCTCATACAGGTTATATATATTATATTATTATATATACAAGTGGATCCAAGAGACCAAGTGGGCAAGTCCATTATTTTGCAGGGGTGGCAGGAAATACACATATCAATCTCCACATACTCACATTGAGTTATTAAAGAAAACCTACTAAAAGTTTAGTAGTCAATAAATATCAGATCTGTAAATTTCAAAATCAGAGGCGAATTCAATAAAAACGAGATTAGAATGGACATATAAATTATTGGCCAATTTATCAGAATATTCAGGGGTTTCATTAGCAGCAGGCAACAGGCAATTTTTACATGTTGTTTTAAAACAATTGCCTGTTGTTTTCAATATAAAAAATCTAATTTTCTCTTAATTTTGAGAGTATGCCATGACGTTTTTGCGTATATGACGCTACGCCTTTGGCTGCACCTCCTTGTCATTTGCTAGCTATGCCCCTACATAACCATATATTTGAGTCGACAGAAAAGAAATAAAAGGATTGTTATTCAATTGACAGAAAAATCTGTGATCCGACTGGTGTTTCTTTAAAATATCCGAGTCTGGCATTTAGAGATCCAGTTTTTATTGACTACCTTAACGTTATACCAATAGTCCATTTTTTCAACTTGGTAACTCTTAGATTGAGCCAAGTATCGGATGATTGGAGGCAGTTTTGTTCAATTTTGCAAAGGGTTAATTTTATTCTCATCTGTCTCAACAAAACAGGAATATCCCAGAATTCATAAAGTCATACTTCTCTTATGTAAACTATATGATTGATTGGCCAAGGGTTCATCTGGGAAATGACCTCCTCTGGACGTAAAGCGTGGGAACATCTGATATGACCAATTCCCATGCCAGCGTGTCACCTGTCATTTCTCTGAAATGATGTACACTTTCCTCCAAAAGATTGGTAACAATTGTAGTACAGTAAAACCTGTATATCTGAACACTTGGCTAATCCTAACATCAATTTGAACACTTTTGGTCCCGTTTTCCTCCCATTGACTCAAATGTTTAAAAAAAACTTGAAATGTGAACACCTCCAAATTTGAACAGTGAACAGTCATGTTTGAAAAATTAACCTATCTAATATGAACACTTTTCATAAAATATCACATGTTCCATAGAAAATTGCTCAAATATTTGAAAAAAACTTGAATGATCTGACTCATGGTGGGCTTTCTAGGATGACTAAATTCATTTCAATCGGATTTATTTTCATGTCACTGTAATGCCATAAAGCAATGTAGTTAAAAGAACTATAAATATTTATTGAGAATTTGTACCTATTTCTTCAAAATCCAAAATCTTTCAAATGCAAAACCTCAAAATGTGAACACCTCCTAATCCGACCGCTTTTAGCTGGTCCCTTGAATAAGACATGTTTTACTGTACGGTACAATCCCCTCTAAAAGTTACGGAAATCACTGGCTGGAAATTGGTGTTGGCCTACACACAGGTGTCCAATAGAGTAGACTCATATGTTCTATATGTGTGTATCATGCCACCCCTGCAAAATAATTGACTCGCCCATTTGGTCTCTTGGATCCACTTGCAAAATATAAATAACCATTTTTAGGACGTCCAATTAAGGAGTTGG